AGCACAATGGCGCAATCTTGGCTCACTGCAACCTCTGCCTCCCAGGTTCAAGCAGTTCTCCTGCCTCAGCCTCCCAAGTAGCTGGGACTACAGGCATGCACCACCATGCCCAGCTAATTTTTTTTGTATTTAGTAGAGACGGGGTTTCACCATGTTGGTCAGGCTTGTCTCGAACTGCTGACCTCGGGTGATCTACCCGCCTTGGCCTCCCAAAGTGCTGGGATTACAGGCGTGAGCCACCGCGCCCGGCCATGGGTTTTTTTTTGTTGTTGTTGCTGCTGTTGTTGTTGTTGTTGTTTGGGTTTTGGTTTTTTGTTTTTTTAAGTCAAAGTCTTGTTCTGTTGTCAAGACCGGAATACAGTGGCACGATCACAGCTCACTGCAGCCTCAACCTCCCAGACTCAGGCTATCCTCCCACCTCAGCCTCCTGAGTAGCTGGGACCATAGGCGTGTGCCACTATGCCCAGCTAATTTTTCATTTTTTGTGGAGATGGGGTCTCTCTATATTGTGCAGGGTGGTCTCAAACTTTTGGGATTACAGGTATGAGCCACTGTGCCCGGCCTTTAAGCAAAATTTGCAAATAGCAAAATGTTCAAATTGTAAGTGTACTGTTCTGTGAGGTTTAACAAATGCATATATCTGTGTGCAAGCCCCTGTTGAGGTACAGAACATCACATTACTCCAGAAAGGTCCCTCCTGCCCTTTCCTAGTCAGTCCTCACTCTTACTCACCCAGAAGCAACCACTGCTCTGATTTTTTTCGTGGTAGTACCTGTTCTAGAACTTCATTTAATGGAATCATATAGTATGTACTGTTGTATAAGGCAGCTTTCACTTAGCTTAATGTTTTTGAGATTCATCCACAATGTATCAGTAGTTTCTTTTTTAGCACTTAGTGGTATTCCATTGTATGAATCCAAATCGCAGTTTGTATATTTATTCCCCTGTTTATGGACAGTGTTTTTAGTTTGGGGATCTTCTGAATGAAGCTGCTAGGAACAACTTTTTTTTTTTTTTTTTGAGACAGAGTCTTGCTCTGTTGCCCAGGCTAGAGTGCAATGGCACAATCTTGGCTCACTGCAACCTGCGCCTCCCAGGTTCAAGTGATTCTCCCGCCTCAGCCTCCTGAGTAGCTGGGATTACAGGTGCCTGCCACAACACTTGGCTAATTTTTTTGTATTTTTAGTAGAGACGGGGTTTCACTGTGTTTGCCAGGCTGGTCTCGAACTCCTGACCTCAAGTGATCTGCCTGCCTTGGCTTCCCAAAGTGCTGGGATTACAGGCGTGAGCCTCCGTGCCCAGCCAGGAACATCTTATACAAGTCATTTTGTGGACTTACATTTTAATTTCTCTTGGGGAATGTATCTAGGAGTGGAATTTTTGGGTCATAGGATAGGCATATGTTTAGTTTCACAAAGAACTATTAGACCTTTTCTTAAAGTGCTTAAACCATTTTACAGACCAGCAAACGAATGCATGAGAGTTTTGGTTGTTCTATTTTTTATTTTTTTGAGACAGAATCTAATTTTGTCACCCAGGATGGAGTGCAGTGGCACAATCATGGCAGACTGTAGCCTCATGCCCAGCTAATTTCTTAATTTTTTTGTAGAAACAGGGTCTTGCTATGTTGCCCAGGGTGGTCTTGAACTTCTCAGTTCAAGTGATCCTCCTACCTCAGCCTTCCAAAGTGCTAGGATTACAGGCATGACCCCATGTGCCTGGCCTAGTTGTTCGGTATCCTTACCAGTATTTGGTATTGTCAGCCTTTTAAATGTTAGCCATTTGAGTGGGTGTGATACATCTTTTCAATGACTGCATAATATCCCATGGTATGAGTGCTTACGATTTGTTCACCTATCACTCTGTTGATGGGCATTTGTTTAATTTTCAATTCTTGACCACTGTGAGTGACTCTGCAGTAAGTATCCTTGCACATATGTCTTTATACATTGGTACTTTCTTCCCATGGGACACATTTCAGGAACAGGGTTACTGGGTTTTGTGGGGTTTTATCTTTTAAATTTAAATTTTTTTTATTTTATTTTTTGAGTCAGGGTCTTGCTTTGTTGCCCAGGCTGGAGTGGAGTTCTGCAAAAATAACTCTGCATAACCTCAAAGGCCTGGGCTCAAGCAGTCCTCCCACTGCAGCCTCCTGAGTAGCTGGGACTACAGGGGCGTGCCACCACACCTGGCTAATTTTTTAAAAATTTTTTTGTAGAGACAGAGACCTGCTATGTTTCTCAGGCTGATCTTAAACTCCTGGGCTCAAGTGATCCTCCCACCTCAGCCTCCTAAAGTGCTAGGATTAGAGGCATGAGCCACCATGCCCAGTCCCTGGGATTTTTTTTTTTTTTTTTTTTTAAGATAGAGTTTCATTCTTGTTGCCCAGGCTGGAGTGCAATGGCGCGATCTTGGCTCACTGCAACCTCCGCTTCCTGAATTCAAGCAATTCTCCTGCCTCAGCCTCCTGAGTAGCTGGGATTACAGGCACCCGCCACCACGCCCAGCTAATTTTTTCTATTTTTAGTAGACATGGGGTTTCTCCATGTTGGTCAGGCTGGTCTCAAACTCCTGACCTCAGGTGATCCACCTGCCTCAGCCTCCCAAAGTGCTGGGATTATAGGCGTGAGCCACCGCGCCCGGACAGTCTCTGGGTTTTAAAGTACACCTGTATTTTAAATATTTGTAGGTGTTGCCAGATTGTTTTCCCAAAAGATGGCAATACTTGACTCTTCTGCTAGTAATTTATGAGTTCACTTTTCCACATACCCATTGTAGCCATCATTTTTGTCATATTTCCACATACCCATCATTTTTGTCAGTCTAATGGGAATAAAATGATATCTCATTTATACTTTAATTTGCATTTCTCTACATTTGGAGCAGTCTTTCATACTCTTTTGGCCATCTGTATCTGTTCTTTTAATTGAATATTCAATTTTTCTGTTGAATTGTTCATCTTGTCAATTTGTAAGAAAATTTACGTATTATAAAAATTAGCCCTTTGCCTGTCATCTGCATAAGTATTTATCTGTTAAATTTGTTTATATTACCTTTTGCCAGACAAAATATTTTTTAGTAGTCAAAAATGTTTGTTTTCTTTTTTAGAGACAGGATTACCCAAGCTCTGTTAACCAAGCTGTAGTGCAGTGGCGTGATCACAGCTCACTACAGCCTTGATCTCCTGGGCTCAAGTGATCCTTCTGCCTCAGCCTTCCGAGTAGCTGGGACTACAGGCGAGCACCACCATGCCTGGGTTTGCTTTTTTTTTTTTCACTGTATTGCCCAGGCTGGTCTCAAACTCCTGGGTTCAAATGGTCCTCCCACCTCAGCTTCCCAAAGTGTTGGGATTACAAGCATGAGCCACCACACTTGACCTTGTTTTATTTTATAGCTGCAGGTTTCCAGTCTTGGTTAGAAAGTTTTTCTCAGAAATATAGGGGATTACAGCCGGGCACAGTAGTTCACACCTGTAATCCCAGCACTTTGGGAGGCCGAGGCGGGCAGATCATGAGGTCAAGAGATTGAGAACATCCTGGCTAATGTGGTGAAACCCCGTCTCTACTAAAAATACAAAAATTACCTGGGAGTGGTGGCATGCACCTGTAGTCCCAGCTACTCGGGAGGCTGAGGCAGGAGACTCACTTGAACCCGGGAGGCGGAGGTTGCAGTGAGCCGAGATCGCACCGCTGCGCTCCAGCCAGGCAACAGAGCGAGACTCCATCTCAAAAAAAATAAATAAATAAATATAGGGGATTACATGTATAATACAAGGATTGGGGCTTTTTTTTGACAAAAATATAATAAGTTTGTGATTTTTTAAAAATAATTTTTGAATGACTGTCACCTAGACCAATGTTATGTGAATTTGGGTAGTAGTAAGAGACATAGAGAATAATTTGAGAAATATTTAGGGACAGCTTCCGCAGTAGAATTTGAAAAATTTGCAGAGATGAGTTCTGTCTGCCTTTGTGCCATGCAGGTTTCCAAAAATAGAAGTTTTCAGGTTAAAATTTTGATTTTGTCTTTTCTTGAAAGTCAGATCTGGCCATCTGGGGCCTGCATTCCCTAATGGCCCGGTTCAGAGATGAGCAGTTACCCCCTTCAGACAGGGCATGCACTTCCTAGTTTGTTCAGTCCGCACAAAGCCCTCTTTCTGCCCAGCATTGATCTGGGAGCCTGGAGCCACTTTTCTTGGAGGCTGCACTGTTGTTTTCTTAGCGTTGTGAGGGATATGCATGCAGTATTCTTACACTAGTGACTCAAAAATGGGACTGAACAGGTGTCCGAGAGGGCTGCAAGGATTAAGATACCTGTGGAGGGTAGCTGCTGTAGGCATTAGTTTGTGCCTCACTCCGTGGGACTTTGATGGACTCTAAGAGGCCCTTGTGAAAGTTACTGATGATCTCCTGATTTCTGTCCCTGTATTACTGGACCCTTCAGCAGCTTTTGATCCTGATACCTGATTTTGAGACTTTGCTGATTCTCCTTTCTCCCTTGAGGGTTTCTTGTTTTCCCTTCTTCCCCGGGTTGTCCTAGTAGCTGCTCTCGACTACTCACACTCCCTGGGGAGATTCCTACACTTCCTTGATTATAACCACTACCTGAGGACTCCCTAATACTAGGCTGACTTTGGCCTGAGTTCTCAGCTTCTGACTCGTGGAGCTGGTTGCCTCTGGACCACAGGAATCTCAAACGCAGCATATCCAAATCCAAGTGCCATGGTCAGTCCCTCCAATCCCTCCTCCTCTTGTCTTACATCCTATTTCAGAGATAGTCCTAGAAGCCAGGCCATTGATTTGGGGATCCTAGACTCCCCCCTCTTCCCAGCCTTCATTCCCCCTTCTGTCAGTCACCAAATTCTGCTAATTTTACATTCTAAGTATTAGCAAATCTTGCCGCTCTCCTTCTATCTCTACCCACTGCCTTGCTCAGGCCTTTGTTATCTTTTAACTGGACAATTGCAAGGGCCTTCTTCTAACTGGTCTCCCTGCCTACAGTCTTGCCTCCAGCAAATCCATCCTCCAATCCTGATGCCAGAGTGATCTGAAATGCAAATATGATCTTGCCACTCCCCTGCTTAAAACCCACCAACCGCAGTGGTTCTGTAACCACAGTGTAGCCTCTGACGTGGGCTGAAAGTAAGTTGTTACTACTCCTACTACTACTGCTACTATTAGTACTACTATTTCTACTAATATAAATACTAATAATAGTAGCTAACATTTACTGAGCATTTTCTATTATGCTTTCGAATGATTTATTACCTTTTTAAAACAAATCATAGCCAATTCAATGTTTTCCAAATTGTACCGGTCTCATTTGCTTGGGGTGAAGGAGAGGGGCAGAGTTACAGGCAGGGGGCACCTGAAAAATATTCATAACCATAAATGATCTTATCATATACCCTAGTGAGTGACCATGATGATTTAGCCTTAAGAGTTAAATAGGGATTACCGTAGTTCTCATAAACAAAGATTTGCTTTTAAGGGAGGGTGTCAGTCATCTAGATCTTGAATATGTCCCTGAAGTATGTGGCACGTGGGAATGTCCTCAGGCTCCTGGGTATCAGTAGAGCGGGGAAAAGGACTGCAGACATTCAGGGTCAAGTCCAGGCTTGGCCTGGTGTGCAAAACTGTCTATGATCTGGTCCCTGCCCACCTCTGCTCCTCCTGCCACTCCCTTCCTTATGCATTTCACTCTAGCACAATGAAACTGTATGTGATACTAATCATGGCTCACCCTTACTGAGGTCTCCTATGTGCCAAGCACTGGGCTAAGTGGTTCTCTGCCGTGTCAAAATCTCGTGTAAACCTCACAGCAACCCTACGAGGTAAGTCTCGCTTTCCTCCAATTTTATAGAGGAGGAAAGCGAGGCTCTGAGAGGTGAGGTCACCTGAGCTGACCTGGCTAGAGTTGTCAAGTGGGCAGCCCCCCTCCGCCCCTCTCAGCACATGTTCTTGCGTACCCCTCACATCTGCTCACACTTAACGCTCCCTCTTGTGCCCAGGTAATGCCCACTCATCCTCAGGACTCAGTTCTTATGCTGCCTCCTGGGAAAGCCTTCATGGATACCTCCTCTGCCCCCAGACTGGGCTCGGTGTCCCTCTGTGGCACCGAGCCCCTCTGTGGCCGATGAGCTGCCCTCCAAGCACCACGCTGGAATGTATGTGTTCAGTCTGTGTGCGCCTCGAGGCAGGCACTGAGTTTCTTGCATCTTTGAACCCCCAGCATCCAGCACAGTGTCTGGCACATAACGGGCCTCTGTAAGTGTTTGTTGAATTGACTGAACTGAACTCCAGGCACTGAGCCTTGAGGTTATTGTCCTTCTGACCAGTTTTCCCTGTCTTCACCTTCTCTAGGCACAAAGCCAGGCTATTTGATCTCTGGAGAAGGATCCTTTCCCTTCCTGCTTGGGGTCCACCTGCACCCTATGACTTCGGGTGGAAACTGCTGTCTGATCAGCCACCTTGCCCACACACTTGGACATCTGTACTGTCTCTGATCCCTTCTCTCCTCACCAACAGGCTGGACCCCATTTCCACCCCTCTGAATCAAATCATTCCGCTTCCCCTTAGCCTCAGCTCTTTCTTCTGGGTTGTTTGTATTTTCTTCTCTGTCCCAAACAGTTTCCCCCACAAAAAGAACTTTATGTCTTTCTCTGTCTTCCCTTAGTCCTTCCAGTCAGCAGCCTGTGATTGGGCTTTTCCCCTCAGAAACGAACAATCCAGAACCCACTGTTTAAAACAACTGTATTTTGCCTTGGGAAGTCCCATTTGCCTTCCCTGAAAACATTAAACATTCCTCCGATCCCCAGCCTGAGTCTCTCTGTCTCTGGGCCCCATCCTGCTCCACAGCAGGGCTGGTGCATCCAGCACAGAGTGACCCTCCAGTGCCCTTCCCCACCCGCCGCCCTGCCTCCCGCAAGCCCTGCCTTCCCTCATTTCCCAGTCTCCTCTGCTTCTGGCAGCTTTGGGACCCCCGCCCCTGGCTTCTCCTCCATGCTGTATGGAATGAAGATTGCAAATCTGGCCTACGTCACCAAGACTCGGGTCAGGTTCTTCAGACTCGACCGCTGGGCCGACGTGCGGTTCCCAGAAAAGAGGAGAATGAAGCTGGGGTCAGATATCAGCAAACACCACAAGTCACTGCTAGCCAAGATCTTTTATGACAGGTGTGTGTATGTTGTGTGTTGTGTGTACGGGGAGGCCTGCAGGGTGTGAAGGAAGGGGGCTGTCTGTGTGAGGAAAGAGTGGGTTACACAAGTGGGAGTAAGTCCCCCTCCTTCAGAGAATGGGGGAAGGGCAGGGGACTGGTCTGCTGGGAGGGGGTGAGTTTCCCAAGCACAGCTGGCACTTTGCCTGCCTCCCAAGCCTAAAGCTTTCCCCAGGGTAACTCCCAGTGAGACCGCTCCCACCCAGCGCCCCCTTGACTCCCCTTCTGCCCAGGGCTGAGTATCTTCACGGGAAACATGGAGTGGATGTGGAAGTCCAGGGGCCCCATGAAGCCCGAGATGGGCAGCTCCTTATCCGCCTGGATTTGAACCGCAAAGAGGTGCTGACCCTGAGGCTTCGGAATGGCGGAACCCAGTCTGTTACCCTCACTCACCTCTTCCCACTTTGCCGGACACCCCAGTTTGCTTTCTACAATGAAGACCAGGAGTTGCCCTGTCCACTGGGCCCTGGTGAGTGGGTTTCCAAAGGAAAGAGCTGGTGGACAGGGGCTTGCCCCAGGCAGTGCTGGTGCTTTGGGAAGCACACTGTCACTGTCCAGTGGACTCTTGCCTTGGGATGGGGCTTCCTGGGAGAGTGTCCAGGATAAGGATATGGGTGGGAGGGTCCCTGCCCTACCCCTATTCACTCATCCATCCTCCTCCAGGTGAATGCTATGAACTCCATGTCCATTGTAAGACCAGCTTTGTGGGCTACTTCCCAGCCACAGTGCTCTGGGAGCTGCTGGGACCTGGGGAGTCGGGTTCGGAAGGAGCCGGCACATTCTACATTGCCCGCTTCTTGGCTGCCGTCGCCCACAGCCCCCTGGCTGCACAGCTGAAGCCCATGACTCCCTTCAAGCGGACCCGGATCACTGGAAACCCTGTGGTGACCAACCGGATAGAGGAAGGAGAGAGACCTGACCGGTAACTCCTCGCTCCCACTCAGCCTTGGCTGGGCTCGTATCTCAACCACATAGGCTAGGGCTTTGGGAGGAGCACAGAACTGGGAGCCAGAGCCCCTTTTCCTGCAGGCTCTTCACTCTTCTGGGTCTGAGAGAATTTTTCTGTCAAGGAAGAAAGTTGCAGATGAACTGCAGATCTGAGGACAGAGTGAAAAACATTTTAGGCATTGTCCCTGTGTGATGGATTATCAGGCAGATCATTGTAGACATCTCTGGGTTTTTTGTTTTGTTTTTTGTTTTTGTTTTGAGATGGAGTCTTGCTCTGTTGCCCAGGCTGGAGTGCAGTGGTGTGATCTCAGCTCACTGCAACCTCCGCCTCCTGGGCTCAAGCAATTCTTTTCTGCCTCAGCCTCCTAAGTAACTGGGATTACAGGGATGCACCACCACACCCGGCTAATTTTTGTATTTTTAGTAGAGATGGGGTTTCACCATGTTGGCCAGGCTGGTCTCGAACTCCTGACCTCAAGTGATCCGCCCATCTTGGCCTCCCAAAGTGCTGGGATTACAGGCATGAGCCACTGTGCCCAGCCAACATCTCTGTTTTTTTAAACAGCTTTATTGAGATAATTCACATACCATATGATTCACCCATTTAAATTACACAGTTCAGTAATTTTTTTAGTATATTCACAAATATGTGAGACCATCACCACCATTGGTTTTAGAACATTTCATTACCCCAAAAAGCTATCACCCTTTTATCCTCCACCACTTCATTCAGCCCTAAGAAACTGCTCATCTACTTCCTGTCTCCGTAGATTTCTCTGTGCTGGACACTTCATGTGGATGGAAGTGTAGGATATGTGTAGACATCTCTTTTTGTTTTTTCTAGATGTTCACAAAATAACTGAGTTATAAAAGCAAACTAGTTGGGCGCAGTGGCTCATACCTGTGATCCCAGTATTTTGGGAGGCTGAGGCGGGCCGATCACTTGAGGTCAAGAGTTCGAGATCAGCCTGGCCAACATGGTGAAACCCCATTTCTACTAAAAATACAAAAAAATAGCCGGGTGTGGTGGCACATACCTATAGTCCCAGCTACTCTGCTCAGGGGGCTGAGGCAGAAGAATCGCTTGAACCCGGGAAGTGGAGGTTGCAGTGAGCCGAGATCGCGCCATTGCACTCCAGCCTGGGCAACAGAGTGAGACTCCATCTCGAAAAAGAAAAAAAAAGCAAACGATGTAATAGGACCTTCACAGACCACTGTGCTCTTTTTGTTGACTATATAACAGAAATTTACAGGAAAGAAACTCTGGAAGTTAACATTGGTTATTCCTGGATGGTAAGAATGATATTTATTTATTACCTATTAGCTGATTTTTTTCTCTAATGAACATGTACTACTTACATAATAAAGGTTTCCAAGTATGGCGCTTTCCAAAAATGAGAATAGTCCAACCTTGGAGCGAGGCTGCCGACTTCCTTTCAGCAGTAGGACTGCAGGAGGGCTTTGTGCATCCACCTGAGAGGGGCGTTCTCAGGGTCTTGGAGGGTGAGGGGTTTTCTGTGTTTTCTTCCCTCAATTCTGCAGTGCTAAGGGCTATGACCTGGAGTTAAGTATGGCGCTGGGGACATACTACCCACCTCCCCGCCTCAGGCAGCTGCTCCCCATGCTTCTTCAGGGAACAAGTATCTTCACTGCCCCTAAGGAGATCGCTGAGATCAAGTAAGTACTACCCCTCTGCACCCCACACTCTCCCCTGTCTTTTCCCTACTGGCTTCTTTGCATTGCCATGGCACGTCTGTCCTCAGCCTCTCGGGCTGTATTCATTCATTCCCTTGCTGAGCACGCACCATAAACCAAGCACCATTCAAGGTGAACCAGTCAAATGAAGGCCTGGCTCATTTAATTGGGGACAATGAGCATTTTTGTTACAATGTCATGGAGTGATGAGTGCTATGAAGAACTAAACAGGTCAGGTGCAAGTGGCTCATGCCTGTAATCCTAGCACTTTGGGAGGCTGAGCTGCAGGTGGATTATTTAAGCCCAAGAGTTCAAGACCAGCCTGGGGCAACATAGGGAGAGCCTGTCTCTAAAAAAAAAAAAAAAAAAAATTTTAATTAGCCAAGTGTGGTGGCACATGTCTGTAGTCCCAGCTACTTGTGAGGCTGAGGTGGGAGAATTCCTTGAGCCCAGGAGGTCGAGAACACAGTGAGCGAGCCAGGATCATGCCACTGCGCTCCAGCATGGGTGACAGCAAGATCTTGTCTCTAAAAAAGATAGAAAGAACTACACTGAAACTAAAGCAGGGTTAGGGGATGGGTTAGTGCTGCTTGGCAGAGGGCCAGTTAGTCCTGGCCTGTTTGAGGTGGTGATGTTTGACCAGAGAAGGACATTTGAATGAGGTGAGGGTGGGAGTCATGAGAGGAGGATCAGGGGAGAACGTTCTGGCCATAAGAGCCACCATGCAAATGCAAGTCAGGTGAGGTGGGGGCAGGGGCATCCAAGGAAGCAAGAGCCAAGGCTTCCTTCTTCAGGGCCTCTGACTCTGTATCCACTTCTGTATCCCTCTAGTCTTCTCTGCTTTTTGATGCTTAGTTCCAGAGCTTCGGGTGGGAAAAGTGGATACTCCTGGGCATAGGGGTTGTCTGGCCCATCCCGTTCCTGCCCCCACTCACCCCTCCCAACCATCATTTCCAGGGCCCAGCTGGAGACAACCCTGAAGTGGAGGAACTATGAGGTGAAGCTGCGGCTGCTGCTGCACCTGGAAGAGCTGCAGATGGAGCATGATATCCGGCACTATGACCTGGAGTCAGTGCCCATGACCTGGGACCCCGTGGACCAGAACCCCAGGCTGCTCACGCTGGAGGTCAGGGCTCAGATTGAGTGTGAGGAGGGTGGGCTCACATCAGCCAAGCTAGAGGCTGTGGGCAGAACTATTCCTGACAGCAGGGCAGAACAAGAGAAAGGCTGAAGTGGTTCCCAGGGCTCCGCAAGCAGCAGGGTGGGCATCCTGTGCCTGAAGACGGAGCAGGGGAATGGGGAAGATCTGGGTTCTAGTCCAGGCTTTGCTACCACCTTGGGTAAGTCCCTGGCTTTCTCTGAGCTTTAGTTCCCTTATCTGAAAAGCACAGAGCTGGACTGGATAATTCTTAAAGCAGCTCTTTCTGGCTCTTGGATTTTGAATGTCTGCATATGAGCCCATATTACACACGAGACTGGATTTCTACATACAAGTGCAGGTGGGAATTAGAGGGTGAGTTTGGTCAAGGAAAGATTACTGCAGGAAGTGAGTTTTGAACAAGTTTTTGTTTGTTGTTTTTTTTGAGACAGGGTCTCACCATGGTGCTCAGGCTGGAGTACAATGGCATGATCTTGGCTCACTTTAATCCCTGCTCCCGGGCTCAAGTGATCCTCTCACCTCAGCCTTCTGACCGAGTAGCTGGGACCACAGGCATGCCCCACTATGCCCGGCTAATTTTTGTATTTTTTGTAGAGATGGGGTTTGCCACATTGGCCAGGCTGGTCTCACAACACCTGGACTCAAGTGATCCGCCTGCCTTAGCCTCCCAGAATGCTGGGATTACAGGCGTGAGCCACCATACCTGGTCCATTTTTGTTTTGTTTTGTTTTGGTTTTTTAGCAACCCGATTAACTGATGAACAGGACTTTTTACAGGCAGAGCAGGAACTGAGCTGGCCAAGAGGGCAGCTGCACTGGAGGCTCTGGGTTCCTGGGCTCAGCATCTCTGTGCAGCTTCGGAAGATTTGTCTTCTTCCTTTTCCCCTGGCTCCTGCTGGTATGAAAGGAAAGAGGGGTGCAGGGATAGCATAGCTCCCTGAGTCTTAGGTTAGAAGGCCAGTCTCAGTCCTTGTTCCTTAAAGGTCTGGAGAACCTGGGGGCTGGGCCCTCCAGCGTCCATCCCTGGGACAGAAGCTTGCTTGTGTTCACACCCCATAGGTTCCTGGGGTGACTGAGAGCCGCCCCTCAGTGCTGCGGGGCGACCACCTGTTTGCCCTTTTGTCCTCGGAGACACACCAAGAGGACCCCGTCACATATAAGGGCTTTGTGCACAAGGTGGAATTGGACCGTGTCAAGCTAAGCTTTTCCATGAGGTGGGTGCTGGGGGAACCCGGAGCTGCTGGAAGGGTCTGCAGACTTCTGACCCCAGGGGAGGAGGAATGTTTCTCCCTGAGATAAATGAGGCCCCAGGGGCAGAGCAGGAGACTTTTCCTCAGCGGTACCCTGAGATGCTACGGCAGCTTCCTCTTCTAGAGAGCTTCCGTCAAGGTCTTGGAAAGAGGGGTTGAGACTGCGGTTGGTGGAGAAGGTTCTGGCCCATTATTGCCTACCTCCCCTGCCCCAACAAACTCTTCCCCCCTCTCTCTGCCCAAAGCCTCCTGAGCCGCTTTGTGGATGGGCTGACCTTCAAGGTGAACTTTACCTTCAACCGCCAGCCCCTGCGAGTCCAGCACCGTGCCCTGGAGCTGACGGGGCGCTGGCTGCTGTGGCCCATGCTCTTTCCTGTGGCACCTCGGGACATCCCGCTGCTGCCCTCAGATGTGAAACTCAAGTGAGACTGTGGGCGGGGAGCCTCTGGAACCACTCGGAGTGTGGGCACAGGGGATGGAGTCAGGGAGGCCTCTGGGTCACCGGATGACTTCAAGTTCACATTCCTGGTCCCTCTGCCAGGCTGTATGACCGGAGTCTGGAGTCAAACCCAGAGCAGCTGCAGGCCATGAGGCACATTGTCATGGGCACCACCCGTCCAGCCCCCTACATCATCTTTGGGCCTCCAGGCACCGGCAAGACCGTCACGTTAGTGGAAGCCATTAAGCAGGTGGGGTCTGAGCACAAACCTGGGGCCTGCACTCTGACTCCCCCAGCATCAAGCACTTGTCCTCCGATTCTAGTTCCTTCCCACTCCCGAAATGCTCCTGCATCTGAGCAGCCATCAGAAAGAGAGGTAGGGGCCAGGTGCAGTGGCTCATGCCCGTAATCTCAGCACTTGGGGAGGCCTAGCCTAAGGAGTTTGAGAGCAGCCTGAACAATATTGCAAGACCCTGTCTCTATGAAAAAATATAAAAAATAGCTGGGCATTTGAGGCTGCAGTGCACCGTGATCATGCCACTGTACTCCATCCTGGGTGACAGAGTGAGACTCTGTCTCAAAAAACAGGGTGGGGATTGGGGAAGTAGGGAGTTAGGGTAAATGTGGCTGTGGAACACTGTTGTACGGGTAGGGCACGGCATGACCCTTGGAGTCACCATTCACATTTCAGTCATCGTAGACTTGCGCTGCCCCAGACTGAGTACGGCCGCGTCTCAGGAACCTGCCTCCCACACTGTGCTTATCTGCATCTCAGGTGGTGAAGCACTTGCCCAAAGCCCACATCCTAGCCTGCGCTCCATCCAACTCAGGGGCTGACCTCCTCTGTCAAAGGCTCCGGGTCCACCTTCCCAGCTCCATCTACCGCCTCCTGGCCCCCAGCAGGGACATCCGCATGGTACCTGAGGACATCAAGGTACTAGGGAAGTGCAGAGGGCCAAAGAATGGCAAATGCCGGGGAGACTCTCAGGGCAGACACTCAGGCAAGGAAGCTAGGAGACCTGGATTCTGATACTTGCTATGTGACCAGGCAGGACCCCTCCCTGGGCCTCAGTTTGTAAGTGAGGGGGGTGGATAAAATGTTTGGGGGACTGGGCGCAGTGGCTTACACTTGTAATCCCAGCACTTTGGGGGGTGAGGCACGTGGATTACCTGAGGTCAGGAGATTGAGACTATCCTGGCTAACATGGTGACACCCTGTCTCTACTAAAAATACAAAAAATTAGCCGGGCGTGGTGGCAGACACCTGTAGTCCCAGCTACTCGGGAGGCTGAGGCAGGAGAATGATATGAACCCGGGAGGGGGAGCTTGCAGTGAGCCGAGATCGCACCACTGCACTGCAGCCTGGGCGACAGAGCGAGACTCCGTCTCAAAAATAAAAATTATGATAATAATAATAAAAACAATTATTTGGGGGGCCTACAACCAGAATCACGGTGGGAATGAGTGGAGCCAAGCTGATTCCTCTGGTCCCTTCACAATCCACAGCCCTGCTGCAACTGGGACGCAAAGAAGGGGGAGTATGTATTTCCCGCCAAGAAGAAGCTGCAGGAATACCGGGTCTTAATTACCACCCTCATCACTGCTGGCAGGTGGGGAGTGTGTGTGGGTGTGTCTCTGAATCGTAAGTGTAATCAAAGGGGTAACGGGCTGGGGAAATGGGGAAGAATGGTTTCTGGGGCTGGGTGCGGGGGTGGTGAGGAGCCAGCCTGGGAAAGCATTCAGGTTTGGTAGTTGGGTGCCTGGATATGACCCCTGCCTGGCCTGACACCTCCCAGGTTGGTCTCGGCCCAGTTTCCCATTGATCACTTCACACACATCTTCATCGATGAGGCTGGCCACTGCATGGAGCCTGAGAGTCTGGTAGCTATAGCAGGTGAGGGACTCAGGTGGGGCTGCAGGTATACACCCTGTGTGGGTCAGAGAGGTTGTACCACTTACCTTTCTCCCCACACCTCTTCTGCTTCCCAGGGCTGATGGAAGTAAAGGAAACAGGCGATCCAGGAGGGCAGCTGGTGCTGGCAGGAGACCCTCGGCAGCTGGGGCCTGTGCTGCGTTCCCCACTGACCCAGAAGCATGGGCTGGGATACTCACTGCTGGAGCGGCTGCTCACCTACAATTCCCTGTACAAGAAGGGCCCTGAAGGCTATGACCCCCAGTTCATAACCAAGCTGCTCCGCAACTACAGGTATTCCCACACCCTTGCCTCCCCTGCCATATCCTGTGCCTTCACATCCTGTGTGCAGCCCCTGCTGGAGAGTCTGGCTTGCAGTCCTGTTGCTCAGAGGTTGTGTGATGCAGAAAGACTAAACCGGAAGGTAGGAGGTTTTTCTAGCCCCAGCACTGCTGCTTGTTGTCTGTGTGACTTAGCCAGTGGTTTCACACGACAGCAGTCAGCTTATCTGCATCTTAGCGGGTGGGCAGTGGTTCCTAGAGGCTCGGGTGTGTCTGGTACCAATCCCAGATGAAGTTTTCAGGCAATCCAAGGAGAAATAAGAAAAACAGGGAGGAAGCCAGGCACAGTGACTCATGGCTGTAATCCCAGCACTTTGGGAGGCCAAGGTAGGTCAGGCTCCCACCCCTGATCACTTGAGGTCAGGAGTTTGAGACCAGCCTGGCCAACATGGTGAAACCCCATGTCTACTAAAAATACAAAAATTAGCCAGGCATAGTGACGGACACCTGTAATTCCAGCTACTTGGGAGGCTGAGGCAGGATAATCGCTTGTACCTGGGAGGCGGAGGTTGCAGTGAGCTGAGATCTCGTTACTGCACTCTAGCCTGGGTGATAGAGCGAGACTCCATCTCAAAAAAGAAAGAAAGAAAGAAAAATAGGGAAGATACAGTTTTTTCATAAACCTATTGTTATTCAAATTAAAGAGCTGTATACTTTTAGTGAATGAGTTAAGCCATCTAAAATGCTTAGATGAGTTTTATGCTATCACTAAGAGCTCAATAAATGTTAGCTATTGTGTCATCACTACTTATATTTTTGGATTTAACACACTGTCTCATCAAATAACATGATAGTCAAGGATAATTTGGTTTCGTACTGTCCTTGGTAAATTTGAAACCTGAAAATGGGCCCCTAATTTTTTAGTTTTAAATGTCATGGGTCTGTGGAGTCCCTGGACTAGATGCTCTCTGGAACAGAAAGCAGGACTCTGGTTCTGCTTTCTGTGGTTTACAGTGCCTGGCAGCAGATACTATGGATGAGTGTCCTGCTATCCAGGGAGCCAGGGGGGCAGCAGGCTAATGTGTGGGGGCCCAGAGTGGGTAGAGCGGAGCCCCTGTGGGGCAGAGGGAATCTGACCCTTGGTCTTGCTCTTCCTCCTCCGGCCTCCCAGGTCTCATCCCACCATCCTGGACATTCCTAACCAGCTCTATTATGAAGGGGAGCTGCAGGCCTGTGCTGATGTCGTGGATCGAGAACGCTTCTGCCGCTGGGCAGGCCTGCCTCGACAGGTGAGGCTAAGCAGGGCAGGGGCACAGGCTCCCACCCCTGTACCCTGACTTCCCTCCCACTGAAGGTGCAGCCCCTCCCTTTGTCACCTTGGCCTGGGATCTCTTACTCTCTGGAAGGGTTTGGGAAGGGAGGGAATTGAGGGAGGGTGGTCTGGCTGAGGGTTTCCCTTGACCCCATGCCCAGGGCTTTCCCATCATCTTTCACGGCGTAATGGGCAAAGATGAGCGTGAGGGCAACAGCCCATCCTTCTTCAACCCTGAAGAGGCTGCCACAGTGACTTCTTACCTGAAGCTGCTCCTGGCCCCCTCCTCCAAGAAGGGCAAAGCCCGCCTGAGCCCCCGAAGCGTGGGCGTCATCTCCCCGTACCGGAAACAGGTCAGGTCCTCAGTTACCAGCAAGGGTGGGGCCCCTCCCCCAGATGGTACCTCCTTAATATCCAGACCCCTAGGCAGAGGCTTCAGGAGCTTAGGCCTCTGCTGGCTCCGTATCTCAGAAGAGCACCGAGGTCAGCTGTCCCCTCCCTTTGTTCCCCAGCTCCCTGGCCTCCTGCCAGGCTCCCTCGTGCATGAGGTTAATGGCAGGAGAGAAAGGCACCTGTCCCCCTCCTTCCAGGTGGAGAAAATCCGTTACTGCATCACCAAACTTGACAGAGAGCTTCGAGGACTGGATGACATCAAGGACTTGAAGGTGACACGCTGTTCCACACTCACTCCCTCCCCTCCGTGTGCTCCCACTTGCCCACTTCCAAAGACTTTCTCAAGCTTCCACTCCAGTCCAGCCCACATCCCCGTCCCACCCCTGCTGCCTTGAATAGAGCTGGAGCTCTCCCCAAGCCTCTCACACCTGGAGATTCCAACTTAATGGTCTGGGATGGGATCAGGCAGCCTGGATGTTTAACAAGCACCTCCTGTCATTCTTAGACTCAGGCAGGTTTGGGGCCTCTGCCCTACGGATAAAGTCCAAATTCCCTGGCCTGTCATGTGATGCTGCCACCCCCACCCCCAGTAGCCTCTGTAAGGTTGTGGTCTCAACACTGGCTGCAGATAACAATCACCTGGAGAGCTTTTAATACCCCCGTGCCAGGGCCCCGCCCACCAGCTCATACAGCTATGGGGCAGAGCCAGAGCACTGGTAGTTTTTATAGCTTCTCAGGTGATTCCAATGTGCAGCCAGGGTTGAAAACACTGCTCTAAGACTTAGAGGCCTCTCTCTCGGAAATTCTGATGGGGGGATCTGGGTTAGGGCCCAGGGTTGTATATTCTTAACAGATACTTGGTGATTATTTTCAGGAAAGTGTGAAAGTCACTGCTCTGAGTTCCAGTGTGCTTTGCAATGCTGTTTTCTTTCCTTAGAACACTTTGCAGGCCCCACCCCTCAACAGGATTCACCCTTCAGGTTTCAGCTTCCATTGCCTACCTCCTGTCCCCTTTCCCTGGGCCGTGTCGCAGCACTCACTTGTTCACTCCACTGGTCTACAATTGCCCAGTGACCTCTCTGTACCCTCCTTGGATGGCAGGCTTGCTGGGGTAGGGCACCCCTTTGACACGCCTGGCTGGTCTCAGGCCCTGCCTCTTTCCCCAATAGGTGGGTTCAGTGGAAGAATTCCAAGGCCAAGAACGAAGCGTCATCCTCATCTCCACTGTGCGAAGCAGCCAGAGTTTTGTGCAGCTGGATCTGGACTTTAATCTGGGTTTCCTTAAGAACCCCAAGGTTTGAGGGCTGGTCGGGGTGGCAGGAATTCTTCCATCTTGGGGCCCTTCCCTCCCATGACCACACTTCTTCCTTCCAGAGGTTCAATGTAGCTGTGACCCGGGCCAAGGCCCTGCTCATCGTCGTGGGGAACCCCCTTCTCCTGGGCCATGATCCCGACTGGAAAGTGTGAGCATTCCCACCCCATTCTCCCTCTTGGTGGCCACAGCCCCTGCCTAAGGCAGGTGGATCTTTTTTAAGCGCTTGCTTATCGCTCAGTTAATCCTCAGATGTGTCCATTTTCACAGCACCCCTATTATATTTACAAGTTAAATGACATCCAGAGGTTGAGCAAGTACAGCTCAGATGTGACAGGACCGTGGCTTAGCCTCCAGTCTCTGCTGGCACTCCTCTGTACCCCACAGATTCCTGGAGTTCTGTAAAGAAAACGGAGGGTATACTGGGTGTCCCTTCCCTGCCAAACTGGACCTGCAACAGGGACAGAATTTACTGCAAGGTCTGAGCAAGCTCAGCCCCTCTACCTCAGGTATGGCTGGGCCAGGGTGGGCCAGGTTGGGGACAGTGCCAGAGGAGGTGGTAAGGAAGACAAAGAGTACTTTATTTCTTTCCAGGGTCCCATGGTCATGACTGCCTCCCCCAGGAGCAGGAGGGTGAAGGGGGCCTGTCTCTGCAAGTGGAGCCAGAGTGGAGGAATGAGCTCTGAAGACACAGCACCCAGCCTTCTCGCACCAGCCAAGCCTTAACTGCCTGCCTGACCCTGAACCAGAACCCAGCTGAGCTGCCCCTTCAAGGGACAGGAAGGCTGGGGGAGGGAGTTTACAACCCAAGCCATTCCACCCCCTCCCCTGCTGGGGAGAATGACACATCAAGCTGCTAACAATTGGGGGAAGGGGGAGGAAGAAAACTCTGAAAACAAAATCTTGTTCTATGCAAAAGCCTTGATAATGTCTCCTCTGCCTGGCCCCAGCTTCCTGAGCCCCCAAGTTGACCCAGTAGGGAAGGGTGGGACTTTCAGCCCTGCTCTGGGACACACCCCCTCCCAGCTGGAGAGGAAACCCAGTGGGAGGTGGCAGGGAAGCCACCCACAGGTTTCTAAGTTTAGCCCCCTGCTACAGACCACTCCCTTCACCCGCCTCCTTGGCCCAGAGCCAGGCATGACCTCATCCTTTGCTCTAAGACTCCACCCTGCCGGCCGCTGGCCTGCCTTGTAGACAGGGGGCCAGGCTGGCAAGCAACTTGGACATGAAAAGAGATGGGACACTAAGCACCCAGAGGGAAAGACCAGAAGCTGCCACACACGTTGGAGCCTGTAGCCTTTATTCATGCCCCCCTGACCAAATGCAGTGAGAGACAAGGCCCCTGCCAAAAACAACTCCAGGGGCCTGGGACTCTGGGTCCCCTACTGCAGATACTTTCCTGTGAGCCAGAAGTGTATAAAGTGCTGGTGTGTGACCATCCTTTGGGAAAGGTCAAAGGGGCAAGAGCCCCAGGGGCCCTGAGGAAGGGCAGAGCATAGGCCTGGTTCCCAGAGCACTGGGAGGGAGGGCCTGCACCACCCCACCACCTCAGGGCTAGGAAACCTCAATGCAGTCCTGGGCAGGAGGGAACGGAAAAGGGGAGCCTTCAGCATGGAGCCCTAAGGAGGCTGGGGTTGTAGGGGGATAATTTCTGTACCCCTGTTGAAGGGAGGGGGCATGTTTGGAAAGGCCTTGGGGATCTCAGATAATGGGACAGCCCCTCCGGCGCTTGTTCTTGCGGACCTGGAGGCCAGCCCGAGTGGCCATCTCAAACACCTCCCGCACTCCCTCCTTGGTCTTGGCTGAGCACTCAAGGTAGCCAAAGGCGCTGATCCGGTTCGCCATGTCCCGGCCTTCCTCAGACCGAACGGGCTCCTGAGAAGACAGAAGATGAGGGGTCAAAGGAAGCTGGTGACTACATGAACCTCTCCTGCCTCACCCATAAGTGTAGCAGCTGGAACAAATGCCTCCTCCTCCAGTCCTGACCCAAAAAAAAGCGCCCAGGCCCCAGCTACCCTGGGCAGCTTCTGGGCCAGGGATCCAAAAATCCCTCCGGTCCCTCCCTCCATTCCCATTCAGCCCCACCTCCTCCCACACACAGCCCCCAGTTCTCTTGCCTGAATGAGCGCCTCCCACCTCCTGACTGCTCTGCCTCCATCCTCACTCTTCCAATCAGAATTATTTTTCTAACACACAGACCTAACATCTCCCCACTTTGAAACTTTGCCTTAATTATCTGCATTTCTTACCCTGACAGCTTTCTCTAATAAACTCTAGTGCTTTGGCTAGAGAGCCACTTAGGTCCCTGAATAAGCCAGCACTCTCATCCCTTCTTCCAGCCATTTACACAATGCCTGCCCTCGTTCCCACATCCACATCACCCTACACCTCCCCCAGGGGCACTGTGATGGCACAGCCTGGGTACCCGAACATAAGCTGTCTCCCCGAGGGCAGATTTTCTTAATCATCTTAATAGTCCCAATTCTAAACAGAATGGACAATTAACTGGAATAAATAAAAATGCCAAGTGACTTTGGACAAGTCACTTCATTCTCTGATGCCTCATCAGACACAACCCTACGGGTCCTCCCTCACCAGGAGATATTACCATCTCCCGTAACACATGGCAGAAGCTGGAAAGAAGCTCCCTTTGCCCGTCTGCAACCCCTCAGAGGGTGCCTTCTTCCCCAGGGGCTCCAGCCTGGCAGCCGCACCCACCTGCTTCATCTTGGCCAGCTCTCTCCTGGTGTGCTCATCTTGCCTCAGGTCCTTCTTATTCCCCACCAGGATGATGGGCACGTTGGGGCAGAAGTGCTTCACCTCTGGGGTCCACTTCTCAGGAATGTTTTCTGTGCAGACATGCCCCAACAGGTGTCGGTGCCTCCACTTAAGCTAGAAAGCTCCCCTGGGGGGCCCTCATCTTCCCACAGCAGAATCTTAGAAGCCATTCAGCATGATGGTCCCTTTCACAGCTCAAAACCTCAAGAGCAGTATGCCTTCAGAGGGCCAGTTACCACAGTAAAGGAGACCAGCAGGGCCTGAGTGCTCCCCTGCATCCCCACCCCCCATCTCTGAAGATGACTGAAGACAGGCCAAGGCACGACACCTCTGGCTGATTCCGAGGGGTTCTCAGTCCCCTCCCTCCAATCTCCTCACCCAGGCTGTCGGGGCTGTCGATGGAGAAGCACATGAGGATGACGTCAGTGTCCGGGTAGGAGAGAGGCCGCAGTCGATCATAGTCTTCCTGCCCTGCTGTGTCCCACAGAGCCAGCTCCACCTGACACACAAGGCCAGTGAGTAGCTGGCCTGAGGGCCCCAACCCTGCCACCCAAAGGTCCTCTGAAACCACTGTTCTTTGGGCTCACTGAACTTCTTTATTGAGTACCTGCTATGTGCCAGGCATTATATTAATCACTGTCCCACAACATAAATTAGGTCAGTTTGTTAAAGAAAGCTAAGACACGTGTTTGACCCTTGAGTTGCCACTGTGAGCACCATTATTTTGGTTAATTCTCACGACAACCCTTTGAGGGAGGTCTTACCATCATCCCCATTTTGCAGGTGGGGGAGCTTAAACCCAGAGGCAAAGGGACTCGGCCCAGGTTACAGAGCCAGTCTGTGGAAGAACCAGAAAGTATATCCAGGTTTTTTAAGACTGCAGATATACTTCCTAACTTCTACTGGTTCCAGCAGGGAGAATGACACAAGGACAGGGGTAGGAGTGGGGAAGGACATACTAGGTCATTCAGTGACTGGGGGCGGGGATCGGGGTCGGGTGGGAAGGGCATCTCTGCCTTCACCTGCTTGCCGTCCACCTCAATATCCGCAATATAGTTCTCAAAGACAGTAGGGACGTAGACCTCCGGAAACTGATCCTTGCTGAAGACGATGAGGAGGCAGGTCTTCCCACAGGCACCATCCCCAACGATCACCAGCTTCTTTCGGATTGCAGCCATGGTGGGGCTGCCAGGAAAGAGGTATTGAGGATTTGAGGAAAAGCCATTAAAGTCCAAAAACACTTCTCTAGGGCCCTCAAACCTTCCTGGAAACCGAGGCCTCTAGCAAAGGGACAGGGGGCTTGCTCAGGCATCTTCTGGCCAAACACCAATTGTGCAACCACAGAGCTCGAAATTCCTAATCTCTGGGTCAGGGACAGGTCTCCCTCGATGGGTTAGAATACAGTGGTGGGAGGTGGATGATGACCCCACTTGGGAGCTAGAAAACATGAGTTTCAATCTAATCCACTTGCCAACTTGGGGACTCCAGGTAGCTAAAGAGCTGCTCAGGGATGCGGGACGTCCAGGGAGCAAGCTTCTATCTACTTCACACATCAGGGTTTCAAGTCAGACTTCATTGGTTACCAGGATTTTGATGCATTTACAATTTAATAATCTCTAAGGTCCAATCTAGAACAGATTGTCCCTCAGCACAAGTCATACCTGTCCAGTCACAAATGAGGAGTCCCTCTCTAGGACCAGAGTAGCAGAACCAGCTACCAGGTGGTAGGTGGGTAAAGGAAGAATAGTTATAGAGTCCCTAGGTGCCAGGCACTCTGTCGGGCATTTTGGCAGGAATTATCTCCTTTGGTCCCCAGATGCCTGGGAGGTAGATGGTGTACTTTCCATTTTGACAAACTAGGAAACTAAGGCTCAGTGAGGTTAAGACAGATTCAGAGCTGTGGCTTATAAGCGGCAGGGATAGCATCCATAGCAGGACTGTGTGACTCAAAGCCGTGCCTCTTCAACATGTCACCTCAGCGGTAGGAAGGAGAGCAGAAGCAGGGAAACCCAGAGGACAGGGGCAGCAGCCAGCCAGCTTCCCTGGTCCACCCCACCCGGTCCCCAAAGCCCCAAGTCATACAAAGGAGGCTCAGTCCCAGCAGTGCCCACAGCTCGAGTTTGGGCAGGCTGCCTTCCTCCCCCCTTCCTCCTGGGCCTGCCAGCAACACTGGGTCACTCAGCCCCTGGCAGGGGACAATGACCACACTGTAGGGAGCCACACATCCACCACAGCACAGTGACTGAGAAGAATCCACCAGGGAATCACCTCCACCCACTCTGGAACAGTCCCTTCCTCCCTCGGTCCAGCTCACCCACAGGCCCTGCCCACCCCTCCCTGTGACTCAGGGCAAGGAGTCAGCTTCCCGGGCTTCCAAGTGTCCCCCACCCCCAACACACACGGCGAGCATCTGCACAGTTCATCACACCTTCGCAGCTTCCCTCACTTCCTCCTTCCCTGGGGAGGAGAACCGACCTCCAGCCGGCTGAAGTTCCCAGGCTGCAGGAAGAGAGGGCGGGCTCTGGAGCTGAGATGAAGTCAAGGCTGTTGGGAAGGGGGAGGGGGCTAGAGTCTGGGTTGGGAGGAGTCCCAAAAGAAGAGACAAATGAGGGCCAGTCCCAGCACCAACCAGGCAGGGAGCAGTTAAGAAAGCGACGGTAACCTGATCTCGGCTTCAAACCTAGCTTTTTCTCTCAGTCCCACATCCTGTCAAACTGGGCTGACTGAAGGCCTCTACTCCCCACACCCCACCACCACCTCACACTGCCCTTTAGGAAACGAATCCTCCAGCCCCAGGCCTGTTCCCTTCAACAGCAGATCCTAGGTGGCCCTTCCCTTGCCTCCACACACATTCACAAAACTGTCGGTTTTGTGGACATGAGTCAGAGAATTTACAGGAGTTCAAAGTACACAGCCACACTCTTCCCACCACAAAACGGACTCTCTCTGATTCCCCAGAAGACAAGCAAGAAGGCATTCACCCTGCCGGCAGATAGTCTCCAGAAATGGAAACCATCCTCCAAAAAGAGGGTTCCTTGGGAATTCTATCCAGGTGACTGACCCTAGGATTTCTTCCAACTCCTCCACCCACTCCATTAGTTCACCTTGCCCTGTTTTGTAAAGATGGGCTGGGGTAGCCCCAACCTGGGGTGGGCAGTGTTGATGGAGGGCAATCACTACTGGGGTGAAAGCCAGTCACTTAGGCATGAGTATGTCACTGCTGTCCCCCCAGCAGGGTAATTCAGATGGCACCAGAGTGGTAGGAGGCAGAGGACAGAAGCCCGGGGTTGAGGCATGCGTTAAGGGACCTGGAGCCTCCAGCTCAATTAGAAGACCTTCCCTCCAGGCTACGGTTGGGCCAGAACAGCAGGCAGCCCAGGCCAGGCCAGGACACTAGGCCCAAGGCCAAGATGGCATGGATAACTCCCTATGGGAGGCAGCCCCAGAGGGACTGTCCCACTGACCCCTTAAGAGGGGCAACTGAGCGCCACACAGGTCCTGGAATGGAGCCTGGAACTTCTGGGGCCTTCCCCAAGACAAGACAGTGTGGATACACCAGATCTCTCTCCAACCACTCTCTTGAATTCCCAGATGATGCAGAGCGGCCGGTTGACTTTGCTGACCCACCCTACACCTAGGGAAGGAATCCGTTCTGGAGATACCAGGAGATACCTCATTCTCAACTTTAAAACCAGAGTGAGGGTGGGACTCGGCCTCGGGATCCCAGCCCCAAACCCCAGGATACTCTTTGTTGGTTCGAGTATGAAGAAGGAGAAGGATTCTCATTCTCATTTTCTCTCTGTCTACACACACACACCACAGAGTTGGATCCTTCCCCATCTCCCTTATCCTCAACACAAGCGGCCTCCAGGAACCGTCTAGGGCGGCGTCCAGACCCTGCCGAACAGTGGCAGGTCCCAATGGTCACATCCCGCCCCTATTCCCGCCATGCCTCCCTCCTGGCCTGGAGGAATTCCCACCCCATCCCACTCTAGGTCCCCTGCGGCCGCCCGCCCTGGGGGCTGGAGCGTCTGAGTTGAGGCTCCCTCGCCCCTCACCCGGCGGGGCAGGTTCCAGGAAGCTGGAAGGAGAGGGGAAGGGGCTCCGACTGGGACCTCAGGAGGCGAGAGCCCCTGCCAGCAAGTCCGGGCCCCCTCGCTGCAGCCCCGGGAGGTGCCGACGCGGCCGACCCCCGCCCAGCCCGGATGCCGACTCCGCAGGGAGGGAACGGGGTCCAAGCCCAGGCCGAAGCCCCCTCCCTGCACGGGCGTCGATCTCCGGCCCAGAGAGGAAGGCAAAGTGCTCTCCCGGGGACGAGTTCCCAAGACGCCCCGCTGCCCGCAGCCCCGGCCCAGGGTACCTTCGGTTCCGCCGCCTCCAGCTGCGCGGCCGGTGCCTGAGGCTCAGACTGACCCCAGAGCCCCGCCCCGCCCTCCTCCAGCTCCGCGGCGGGGAGGGCGGGCCCGGCAGGGGGAGGGTCGGCTGGGGGCGGCCCTTGGCTCGGCCCGCCCCGGCCCCGCGCAGGGCGGCCGCCGCTTCCCTGGTCCGCAGGCCTGGGGCCGGGGGCGTCCACTCCGCCAGGTAGGGGAGGGCCACGGAGTTATTCCGGGACTGCGGAGGAGCCGGGCGAGCGGGGCCAGCACTACCTGGGTGAACTCACTCTGCCCAACCTTCCAGCCCCTAGGGGAGGACCGGCGTCGGGAAAGTTAAGAGTGCTCGGGGTGGGGTCAGGAAGGGCCGCTGCTGCCCTCCTGTGGCCAAGCAGCCACCCGCTCTTGCTGCACCTGGGACCTCTCCGGAGGCGGGACTGGGAAAGGGCAACCCCGGCACGTCCCAGGGCCCGGCGTGGATGTGTTGGTTGGGGGAGATGTCCACTCTCTTGTTCCTAGGATCGTACAGCCCAACGTCATCCCCCAAACTTGAAGACCTCTCAGAGCCGTTCAGACCCAGACCAGCGTTCCTCCTCACAATTCGCTTTCCTCCCTGGGCCTGGAATTTCCAGGAGTCCAATTCCTACCTACTCCTCAAAGGGTGCTCCTAGAAATGCTTCCGGATCCCAGCTGGGAATTCTGTTCCCACTTCTAGTTCTGACTTGGTGTATAGGATACTTACCTACACGCGTATCTCCTTTTCCTGTAAGGAAGTTGAGGAGGTGGGAGTAGAATGAGGACGTCCACCAACATTTCATTGGCTTGTGCTTGGGACACTACACAGCTTAACCCTTTCAATATTCATCACAGATCTTTGGGGAAAATATACCCATCCCCTTTTGCCCATAGGGAAGCTGAGGCTCAGAGAAATCAAGTGGCTTACACAAATGTTTTTGACTTGTGACAGCAAGAATTCACACAGCCGGGCCTGTCTGGCTCCAAACTGGTGGTCTGGCCCTGCTACTTCCCAGGCTCCTCCAGCCTGTCCCTTCCCCCGTTGTCTAGCACAGTGAGTGGCACGTAATAGGTTGCCAACAAATATTTGATGAATGAATGAATGTTAGGAGTCATACAGACTTTATCTGAAGTGCAATCCAGACATTTGACAAATGTGAAAACTGAGGTCCGCAGCAGTTTGGCCCCAGGCCTCTTAACTGGCTCAGTAAACATTTCTTGAGGGTGAACTGAGAGCTATGTTTGGAAGATCCATTTCTGCCTTCAAACAACTTAAGAGTCTAAATGAGGAATGCAGACAATTTCAAGATGGCTAACATTTATTGAATCCATATTACATGGACCTGGGTCCACATACATTAACTACAAGAATCTCATGAGGTAGCTATCTTCATTTTACTGAGAAGCAAATTGAGGTTCAGAGAGGTTACAAAGCTAGTGCTGGGTCTGACACTAGAACCCAAACAACTGAACTCTAAAGCCCCTGTTCTTAATTGCTACTCCGTACTGACTCCTAATGTAGACAGTTATAATACAGGAGGTCATTGCTGTAGTGTGGGCCTGTGTGGCTGTGGGATACCCAGTCCTGAACAGCAGGTGAAGTTTTCAAGATAAGGTGATGTGTAGATTTTTTTAATTAAAAAATTTTAATTTTTTCTTTTTTTTTTTTTTTTTTTGAGACGGAGTCTCGCTCTGTCGCCCAGGCTGGAGTGCAGTGGCCGGATCTCAGCTCACTGCAAGCTCCGCCTTCCGGGTTTACGCCATTCTCCTGCCTCAGCCTCCCGAGTAGCTGGGACTACAGGTGCCCGCCACCTCGCCCGGCTAGTTTTTTGTATTTTTTAGTAGAGACGGGGTTTCACCGTGTTAGCCAGGATGGTCTCGATCTCCTGACCTCGTGATCCGCCTTTCTCGGCCTCCCAAAGTGCTGGGATTAAAGGCTTGAGCCACCGCGCCCGGCCTTTTTTTTTTTTTTTGAGACAAGATCTCTGTTGTCCAAGTGTGCAGGGCAAAATCTCAGCTCACTGCAGCCTCAACTTTCTGGGCTCAAGTGATTCTCCCACTTCAGCTTCCCCAGTAGCTGGGACTAGAGGCGTGTACCACCACACCTAATTTTTGTATTTTTTGTACAGATGGGGTCTTGCTATATTGCCCAGGCTGGTGACAGGCCTTTTCTAATTATTTTGCTCATCTTTATTTTTGCTTCCCTTAGCTTACTTTGGGTTTAATTTGCTGTTCTTTTTCTAGCCTCTTAAGGTGGAAACAGATCACTGATTTGAGATCTTTATTCTTTTCTACTATAAGCAATACTCTTAATTTCCTTGGATGCTTAACTGCTTCCCACAGGCACTCACCACTACATTCAGCTATTTTTTTATTTTTCTGTAGAGATGGGGTCTCACTATTGCCCAGGGTTGTCTTAAACTCCTGGGCTTAAGCAGTCCTCTCACCTCTGCCTCCCAAAGTGTTGAGATTACAGGTGTGAACCACCATGCCCGGCAGTAGATGTTGGATAAGTTGGAGCTACTAAAAGCCCACAGTTATGCAAACCCCAGGAAGTTGGTGGTGGTGGTGAAAAATGAGGCTGGAGAAGGAAGCAGTGTTTGGATCATGAAGGTCCTTATATGCCATGCACAGGAGTTGAGTGTTGATTTTGTTCTAGGCACAGTAAGGAGCCACTAAATGTAGGAAGCCAATATAGTAAAAGGTGGTGGTGACTGAAGGCAGAGAGAGGTGGAGACAAGTAGAGAAATATTTTTAAAGGTCTATAGTCAACAATACTTAGTGATCAATTACCTTGATGGGAAAGAAATGAAAGCAAAGGGTGACCAACTCCAGGATTTCTAACTGGAGCAGCAGAGCTGGTGCACATTGAGGGGATATACCAGGAGAAGGAACATGTTATGGAGGGCAGTGGTGAATTTAGTTTGAGGTATTTGAATTGAAGTGCCAGCGGGCTGTCCAGGAGATGACTGGAATGTGTGGATCTAAAGCTCAGGAAGGGTCTGGGCAGATGGGTGAAGCCACAGAAGTGGCCAGTGACACTCACAGCAAATGCGTGGAGTGAAAAGAGTGGCGGGCGGAATAAAGAACCTGGGGAATACCACATTTCTAGAACTGTTCTGGTGCTCTTTCCACCACCCCACAGAGCTTTCTTCTTATCTTTCAGTTTCTAGTCAAAGCAAATAAAGACACACACCTTTATCCATCTGGTTTATTTGCCAATAGCTATAATTTTGGATATAGCGGGCATCCCTTCTTCAGTTAAGCTGCCACTAAAGAAGGGTCAGGGAGACAACTTCAGAATTTGGGCTGTGAGAAGAGTAAGTATGGAGAGGCTGGGATGGTGGTGGGAGGGATGGTGGTGGGAGGGATGGTGGTGGGAGGGATGATGTTCAGCCCCTCAGGAGTAACTGCCTGGCCCTCCCAGGGGGATGACGAAGACAGAGATGTCATCCCCGGAACCCAGCTTGTTGTTGGGGAGACGCCAGCCACGGTCCCGGGGGGTACCCCGGGCCCCCAGGACCAGAGCTTGGGCCAGAGCTGTATACCTGCCAGAAGCACACATGCACATTCATGTACCAACATGTATGTGGGAAGACAGATACACAGGCCCACATGTGGGGTCCCAAGCATTGCTTCCCTTTGACCCTTCCTTCACCAGTGCCATCCCCTTACCACCATGCCATGCAGCCCCTACCTGCTATGGTCATTGGGCTCATAGGCCGACAGCACCCTGTCCACAGTGGCAGCCACCTCATAGTCAGTAGTGACATCCCACAGGCCATCTGTTCCCAGGACTAGTACATCATCTGGGCAATGCTCATATTGCGTCAGGTCATATACTCGTACCTGGTGGGAGAAAAGGGCGGAGAGGATTGAGGTGTGGGGTTTGCTGGACAGGGAGCCTGGGGATAAAAGGACTGCAAATGAAAGCTGGCCTGAGGCCCCCAGAGAAGGCAAGAGGTGGTTTAAGGGGGGCCACCGTATGGCTCACCTCAGGGAAGCAGGAGAGAAAAGGCTTGATGGGCAGGGTGGAACTGCAGACCTTAAGATTGTGGTCTCCCAAGCCTCGGGTCACCCCAATGGTGGCCATCACCCGAGCCTGAAAAAAATGAGGAGGGAGTGCCACTCTAGTCCTCTGCTAGATTCTCTGAAACCAAAGATCCCTTCCACCCCTACCCTCAGGTAGAACCTCCACCTCCCTAGACAAGTTGTGACAGGTCCTCCTGCCCCCTCCCACCTCTACCATGGAGTTTACCTTTTTGCCCTCCCCACAGACCAGAGGAAACCTGAGATCCTCCAGCTCGATCTTTTTGTAGGCCCTGGGGAGGGGGGAGTAGAGGAGGCATCACCCAGGCATCAAAGTCCCTCTCCCCTAGGAGCTGCGCACCCTCACACAAACCCCTTAGAAAGGCCACATCCTCCTAACTCCCAGCCTCCAGCTTCCACCTTGCTGCGGGCAAGGGGCTGGTTGTGTTGCCGTGGGAACGGGCCCCAGCTCTGAGGGAAGTGTTACCAGCCGGTCATGTTCTGGTCCCGGTACAACATCCTCTGCCCCAGCTCCTTGGGCAGAACTCTGCGGGGGAACTCAAGGTGGGTGAATTCACTGCCTAGCAGCTCTGGTTTCAGGAAGCCCTAGAGTTAGGGATGATCAGAATAGAGAGCCAGGGGGCATTATGCTCACAGCACACGCTGGTATATAGATGACATTAACTACAGCAGACCCTTAAATAGAGTTTACCATGTGCCACACATTATTCTAATATTAGCAGTATTAACTCATTTACTCCTCACAATAGCCCTTAAGGCAGGAACTATTGATGCACAGAGGTTAAGGGAGGGAATTGCTGAGGTCACACAATTAGCAAAGCACTCAGACCAGGATGCATCCTGGGCTTCCAGCTCCACAGCCACCTACGTTTAGGCACTAAGCCGTACTGCCTTTCAGGGGCCTTTGCTGTTCCCTTCCCCCACCTCAGTCTCTACTTCCAGCCTCAGCTGGGGCCACAGTGGGAGCACTGGATCAACCCAGTACTGCAGCCTCCCACTGGCTCAGCCCCGCACTCCATAGTCCACACAGCGGCCTTCCCAGTAAGGTGCTTTCTGTGCCTGTGGTGGGGGTGTGAGAGTTCTCAGGTCCATGGGGTGCAGGGAGGCACAAGACCCGACAAAGAATGAGGGTAGGGAGTTTGGTTCCTACTTACAAGCAGCTGAAGACGCTGGCGCTCAGTCTCCGGGGTAAACTCTCGGGACATTGGAATGATTTCACCATTCCGGACAATGATGGCCCTGCCCAAAGAAAGAAAAGGAATTGGGACCTGATTCTCTTCAGACCCATTCATGAAAAATTCCAGAAAGATCAGGCCCTCTCCATAATGACCTTTCAGATTCCTTACCCAGACCCCCATATCTGCCCCCAACCCCACCCAATGGCTATTTCAGGCCACTCCTTATGTCTGTCACCCCTCTTGACTCCCTCCAGTCTTGATTTTTAGCCCCTGCCACCTCACTCTCCTGTATTCCCCCATCCCAGAGAGTGTGGCCCTCTGTCACCACTCTCAGAGCCCCCTCCCCCATACCTGCTATCGCCTGCATTGGCCACGTACACCTTGCCTAGCAGGTAGACCACAACCAGTGCACAGCAGCCCCCCTCCACTTGGTGGCCACGCCGCTCCCGGGCCATCTGCTCATCCTGCCACACAAGGAAGGGTCAGAGGTGGGTAGAAGGAGAGGTTCCAGGCACACAGTCACCCTCCCCCTACCCCCTCCACCTGTAGGAATCAACGGGCCCAGCCAGGCTATACTGGAAGACAGGAGGGAAGACTGGGACATAACTGCCCCTTCTCCCTCCCCTCCGAACCAAGCTCTGCTCAGGCTCTCAAAGGTGTTGTGGGTTCTCAGCGTAACCCCCTTAGGCCACCTGGCTTCCACACAGAGTTGGCCAGAATGGTTGCCTAGCAGACCCTTGGCCCAGGTCACCCACTCACCATGAGCTGGAAGGCATTCTCAATGGCCCCCACTACCAGGCTCTCGTGGGTCACTTCCTTCTGTGAAGACCAGCAGGACTGAGGGCCAAGCAAGTGAGAGGGATCGGAGGAATCTGGGGTCCCCGGGGTGGTTGGGAGGCAGAGGGGTGGTGGCGAAGGGTCCTGAAGTATCTCTACCAGGTCCTTTAGCTGCTCTCGGATATGGCGATGCAGGAGCCGTGAGGCCATTTCAGCAGCTCCACCCCCTGCATGACCATCAAATAGGCCCCAGTAGTAGAAGCAGAGTCCCTGGTGGAGGAAAAGTTGGAGGTGAGTTGTGTTTGTGGTGTGTGTGTGTGTGTGTGTGTGTGTGTGTGATGCCAGGAGAAGAACAAGACTCTGGGCATCCATACAAACATCTGAGAAGTCAGTATTTGCTACTGAAGGCAAATTAGGTTTATTCACTTATTCACATAAGGCTTCCTATGTATCAAGAGAAAGCAAAGGCTCAAAAAGCCAAACTCAGAGGATAACAGATCCAAAACTCAGCACTGGCAATTAAATCATCCATAAATATGTGAGCCTCTACATTTTAGGTGGGAAAGTAACATGCATGCTTACATGGTGGAATCTAACTGATGAATGCCAGGTAAAGGTTCTGTGCCAGAAGGTAGAAAGCCAGTGAGTTAGTCAGGTCTTCCACATGGCTCAGATTTAAAACCAGAGGCCTGAGTCCCTGGGGAGAGGTGTCACTGTGTCTCTGGAGTCTGGGAAAGGGGATCCGGGCTTACCTGGCCTCGGCTAAGCTCCCTAGGTGCCCCTGTAACACTCCTCCGACCTTCCACATACACCACTTCACAGCAAGCCTGGTCCTCATTGTGCCGACTCTTGCCAGCATTGATGACCCTGCCAGGCCAGAATGACCACATCAGGTTGGAAACCAGACCAGGTCCTGGAATAACCCCCACCTTAGACACACACCGTCTCCTGTGCCTGCTGGCCAAGCTGAGAAAGGTCACAGCCACCTGGGATCCAGGCCAGAGGGAGGAGGAGAAGGGAGGGCTGGCAAGGTGCAAGGAGTACTGTTTGGGTGGCCGGCCCTACCACCTCACAGAAAGGCCAGCAGGAGCTTCTGGCCAACCGCTATGTCCCCTGCCTGCCTCACTTCCCCCATCCCTGGCAAACAAGAAAAAAGAAAATGAAAGGCATTCCTAGTGGTGCTTCTGGGGGAGGGGCTAGATGGTAGCAGAAGTTTTATTTCCCTGCTAGCTACACCCTACATCTCACCCTCAACCACTATCAACTCTGCCAGTGCCTTGTCCCCAGCACCTCATCCTTATGGGCACACCCACCCTTATCCTAAAACCATCCAGCGAAAGTTTCTGCTGCCTTGACAATGAGGAAGTTCTCCAGCCCAGATCGGGAAAGAGGAATTGAAATAGAGTAGAAGTGGAAGCCCACCTGGACTGGGCAGAAACCACATACCCACAAGCTCCTCCCACACCGGAGGCTAAGGGAGGTGGTGGTGGGTCCATGGGCCACCAGCCACCTTCCTCAGCGAACTCAGCGCCCCCAGCTCCCTCGGTGCTCTGCGTTCCCGACAGATGCATTAAAAATACACACAGCCTGGGGGCAAGCCGGCCGGTCCGGCCAGGGGGTCCGCTTCTTTGCCAGGCTAGCACGAGTTGGCAGGCTGAGAGGCATCTAAATGGGACCCTCCTCTACCCTGGGCGTCCCCTCCCCGCTTCCCCAGTTCCCCGCCCCTGGGGAAGCTGACGGCCTGCTGGTGTCGCGGGCTATTTCTGGGCGTGGAGGGGGAGGGGAACTACGGTAAGAGGGACAGGGAACTGGGGCGCTGGAGCCGGGAAGCGGGTGAGCGAATCTTCCCAACCGCTATGTCCCCTAATAAAAAGAACCCCGCTCCTTCGTGAAACCCCTTCTCCCTTAGCCTTTAAGCTGCCGGGCCGCCACTGGGAACTGGCCAACTCATCCTTCGCAGGACCCTCCGCCCTCCGGGCTCTGGGGGAGAACAGGTCCTGAGGCAGCGTGAGCGAGGGCAGTCAATGAGCGGGAAGGACCTGAAGAAGGTGACATAGGCTGCGCCCGACTGGAAAGTGGGCTGGGAGGGGGTGCGGCACGAAGACCAGAGGATAGCAAAGGTCCTGGGAAAAGGGAGCTCCTGGCCTGGACGCGGCGTGGGGAACGCGTCCTAGCGCCGGGGATGCAGAGCTGGGGAGAGGGGTGGGAGTCCCATCCTGGTTTGGGTGCCCCAGGGGGCGCTCACTCGGCGTAGCCTGTGCTCCAGGGCAGGCGGTGGCCTGTGTCCGGGGGGCTTTGCACAGCCCGGCCCGCGTGGTCATCCGCGCGTCGCAGCCCCCCGGGGCTCAGCTGCAGAAAGGTCGGTCTGGAGAAGCTCGCTCGAGTCTCAACAGCCTTCGCGGGCGTCGCGCTCCCGCTCCCAGCCTTCGCAGGAGGGCTCCTGGGCGCTTCTAGAGCGGCAGCGGGCGGCGCCGAGGCGGCGTTGGGCAGGTCCGGGGATTTGGGGCGCGGAGGCGGAGCGCCCCCAGAGCTCACCAGGTGCGCCACAGCCGAGCGCACCCGGTTTAGCATGCTGCCTCCCTGCCCCGCCCTCGGCCGCGGCCCCGCCCCCGCCCAGGCCCCGCCCCCAGGACTCGGGGTGGGCGGTGCTCGCGCCAGCCGGCCCTTCCCGGCTACTGGCTCCCGGCCAGCTGGGCGGGTCCCGGGCGAAACTTGCCCTTGCTCTGGGCCACCCCAGGAACGGGCGCATGGACCCCCGGCCTCTGCCCCGCCCCATTTCGGCTTGGCCCCGCCTCCGTTTCTTAGGGGTAGGTTCTGTTGCTGTGGGAAGGGGGCGGAGAGAAGGAAACCTTATTTCAGCCGTGCGCTAGATTAGACATCAGCTAGAACGTCTCCATTGTGACAGGGGCTGAGGGACAAGGGGGTGCGGTCTCCTCGCTCTTGGTTCGGTGTGGCCAGCCTGCCCAGAGAGCCATGGAGCTAATGACCTCAGAGCAAAACAGGAGCTTCGGAGCCGCTGGTATGAGGCGCCAGGTGTGACACCACCTCTGAATGGGGCTGCTGGAGCGAGAGCGGGCAAGCTGGTACCGGGTGGGGGTGCGGGGATAATGACCAGGCTGCAGCCGACCACCCCGGAATCAGGAGCCGGGGTAGATTCCTGGGCTCCTGATGCGCTGTTCCCCATGAAGACCACCTCTAGATCCCTCTAGAGGGATCTAGAGGATGCCACTCCACCCTCCTTTCTCTCTCAGAACCCAGGTCTTTCCCACAATGTAGACCTTCCCTGATCACAGCAGGACTAGCTATTAATAGGATAAAAACAACATAACAAATACTATTTGTTGAAGACGTACTGCCTACTAGGCTCTTTATAAAGCATGTTCCATACATTATTAGGTTATTTATCCTGCACACCAATCCTTCAAGGTGGGTTTTTTTCTATCAGTTTCATGGATGAGGCAGGACCGGACGCTTCTTGTCATTTTACCGTGACTTGCCCCAAGAGGTCACACAGTCAGTGAAAGATTCACACCTATGTCTGCCTCCTGCCATTCAAACCTGCTCTGTCCTAAGAACCAAGCTTAGTTCTCTGGATCAGGGAGGAAGGGCTAGAAAAGAGATCAATGGCAGAGAGAGGAGTGGGGGTTCCTCCCCTCCCATCCTTCTCTTAGGGCCAGGGCTGAGAGCTGTCCGGGAATGCTAAGCAAGTTCTATATCTGCCGCCAGGGGGAGACAGAGGCCAGGCTAAGCCTTTGTCTAAGCCGAGTAAAAGCCCACTCGCTGGAAGACCAGGACCGAGCCCAGTGACTGGTTGGCTGCCTGTTCTTCCTAATTTCTCCCCTCTAGGAGAGGGTGATACTGACCTGATGCCACAAGAGCTCTGTCTCTAAATCTCCTATCAGAAAGTTGATCACTGGGTGTCCACAGACACCACCCACCCACACATCTCAAATGGGGACAAGGCTGTTGTGGCCATCGTGCAAGTTGGAGGTAGCCATCAGGGACTACTACACCCAGTTCACAGCTGGAACTTTTCTGGGATCTGTCGGCCATGTGTTTCCTGACCACATCCCACTCTGTTCCCCAGGCTAAACTGTGTCCCCAGAAGGGATGACTTTCTTGGCATCTTCCAAATAAAGATCCCACAGTGGTCATTCAGGTTGGTAGACTTACTGTGCCTGCTATGTTGCACCTGAGCTTTGGGCAGACAGCCAGAGGAAAAGAAGTCACAGGAGAGAAAAAAAAAAAAAACAAAAAACAGACCCCAAGGCAAACAGAGCAGCAAAGGCAGACAGGGACAAAGAACAACCTGCTTCTATAGGTTTTCCCCTGCTATTTGAGAAAAACTGAAACCAACTCTCAGATAAATAACAGCAGCAGCAAGCCAGCAACTGAAGAAACAAATATAACTCCTGGTTGTTTTTTATTATTCAGTGTTTCTGGGACAGTTTACTTACCGCTTCTTGGTGTCACCCAGCTTCCTATTCCCTGCCCTTTCTAGCACCATGGTGCGGCTGCAAGAGGTCCGAAGAGGTAAGCCCAGAGACCACCCCAGCCCCAGCACCAGACGACCAGCAGGGGATGACAGCTCCCTGCAGCTCCAGAACAGCCCCCAGCCATGGCCTCATCCTAAGGCTCCCCTCTCTCTGAACCTCTCACCTCCTATTTCTGACATCATTATGCCTCCTCTATCCTCAGACTGTCCCAGAACCTGGTGAGGTCATCACCTCTACTCATCCCTGAGGCAGCGGAAAGTGAGAGGGAAAAGGGGGTGGGGTACGAAGAAGCAGACTTGTGGGATGTTTTTCTCTGTGAAGAGCGAGACTCTGCTCAGTGACTGGCCCTGCCGGGGGAGCGTGAAGCTTGAGCCAAGGAGGGGGACTGGAGAGCCTCAAGACAGGCCCCTTTATCTCAGGCCACGTTGGTGGCTCAGGGCCCAGAACTGGTCATCTTCTGCCTTGTCTCTCCCCTTCACATCACTCCAAACCCAAAGGCCTCTTAAACTAAGAGGAAAGTTCCTTCCAATTCACAGAACACAACTCCCTCTCATTTGTCTAATACTTTCGCATCCAGAATAGATCCCTGTAAAGAATTATTCAGTTGCAATTAATTACATTACAATTTTTCTGATAAAGAAACTGGGTCTCAGGCCAGGAGTCGTGGCTCACGCCTGTAATCCTAGCACTTTGGGAGGCCATGGTGGATGGATCAGTTGAGTCCAGGAGTTCAAGACCAGCCTGGGCAACATAGCAAAACCCTGTCTCTACAAAAAATACAAAAAATAAACCCTGGCTTGGTAGTGCACTACAGACTACGCCTATAGTCCCAGCTACTCAGTAGGATGACATGGGAGAATCATTTGAGCCCAGGAGGTAGAGGTTACAATGAACCAAGATCTGGGTGACAGAGTGATGAGACTCTGTCCCCCCACAAAAAAAATAAATAAAAAAGAAAGGAAAAAGAATGAAAGAAGGAAGGAAGGAAAGAAGGAAGGAAGGAAGGAAGGAAGGAAGGAAGGAAGGAAGGAAGGAAGGAAGGGAAACAAGAAACTAGGTCTCAGAGTTTAGTTCCCATGTTGGTATTCACAGTTATCATCCATAGGGACCATCCATAGCCTACTACTGTCCTCCTGCCTAATGCCCACGCCCTTATACTTCCTCTAGCCCTCCCAGCCTCTGAGAGCACCACTCCTGGGAGAGGAAGAGATATTCACTATCCCTCCTAAATATCAATCTAGAAGAGTGCTGTCAAACAGAACTTTGCACACTGACGGGAATGTTCTACATCTGCTCTGTCCAATACAGCAGTCCCTATCTTCGTGTGGCTATTGAGCATTTGAAATATGGTGCATGCTAATGAGAAACTGAATTTTGAGTTTTATTTAATTAATTTAGATTTAAATTTAAATATCAATATGCCACTAGTGGCTACGGTCTTGGACAATGCAGTTCTGCAATCTTCAAAGCTCAAAAACCCTGAGGGTATAGTCAATCACTCGTCACTCCCAGCTCCTTTTCCCCCAGCACCTCCAGCTCCCCTGAGCCAGGGCACTGAGGGCCACGAGACCTTGAGGGTTTTGAGGGACCTCCTCTGAGTTGCCTGGCCTGCACCAGGGAGGTGTCCAACCGCACTGAACTTGCGGGGGCCGGATGTCCTCTCTCCCTTCCTCTTGCCCTCGGCCGCCAGGGGCCGCTGCGTCCCGGCTGTGCCCATCCGCTCAGCCGAGCGCCTGGCGCTGTCCCGAAGGAGGCGGCGGCGCCCACGCCGGGCTGGAGGAGCGGGGATAGCCCGGGGCGAGGCGGCGGTTGCGGCGGCGGCTGCGCTCTCCCCAGCCTGCCGGCAGGAACCTTGGAAAAAACCCGGCTGAGTTCTGCAGAGCTGGCGGGGCCGGGCCCGGAGCTCCCCTGTGCCCAGAGCCGGGCCCGCCCTGCGGATGATGCCAACCTGCCTGACCAGAACCCCGCTGTCCCAGGGCGCAGCAACTTGGTGAAGGGGACGGGGCTCCAGACTAGACAGCACCCAAGCTGGCCGCTCCCTCCCAAAGTCTGTCTTTCGGAGTGTTGGTCCCTGGCTCAGGGGCAAGGAAGACTTCAGTCCAGCAGGTCGAACCAGTGGGCACCACCGTGGACCAGGTAGGTCCCAGGTGTGGAGCTCAGAATGTGGAGGAATGAGTAGGCGTTAGGGGGGTTTGTGGGGAGAGAAGGTGAAGAAAGGTTGAAGGTTCTTGTGGTTCACATCCTCAAACCCTTATAATGCAGGCTGTTAACTCAGCCTCACTAAACCCCTGGATTGGGGTTTAGGAAAAATAGGCTAGGAAACTGAGGCAGGAGCATGGAAGTCGAAAAACAAATCCCAGAAGCTTCTATGTCCAGCTGTTTCCGGGGTGGAGGAAGGGAATAGAATGCCAGGGATGAGAGCCCAAATGAACACCCCCCACCCCTCTGCTGCCCACCCCACCGAGGTCTTTTGGGCCTTGGGGTTCCTAGGAGAGATGCCTGAGTTGGACTGGAGGATGTTGCAGCTCAGAGGGAAATAGGATCACCTGAGAGAAGACAAAGCTGCATTTGTGATGGTCAAAAGGAGGGTTCCTAGAGGGCAGGGAGAAGAGATGCCTACTCAGAAAAGAGGCACATCTAGAAGGGTGGGAAGCTCAGCCCACGGAGCACACCCATCCCCTGGGAGTTGGCACCTCTTCCTCTGTCTTCCTCCAGATCCCCCTTATGCTCTCACTCCTGGGAGCTAGGACTCAGGGGTCTCTGTCCTTATGGGACCCCACCATCCTATATGTTTCAGTTCTGCCTCCCTTTAGAGTGGTGAGGGAAGAGAGGTTCTTAGGGAGACATGGAAAGCCATTGGAGGCTGTGGCCTTCAAAGGCTCAGGGACCTGAAGTGTCCGCATTCTAGTCCTCTGGAGTGGGAATGGGGGCGAGGATGGCTAAGCCAAGCCAGCTCTATGTGAGTCCAGGAAGCAGGGGCCATAGTGGGTAGGAGGTGGAAGCAGAGAGGATCAGGTCCTCAGGACTCTTTCCCACGTGCCTCTTCCAGCAGGAATCTGTCAGGCTCTGCTCCTTCCTTGACCCTCAGCTCCC